CTACCACTTCTTCGAACGCCAAAATTACGAGTAAACACTTCTTTTACAAACAAATTCACTTTGTACTTCAAACTATGCATCTTGAGCATTTAATATTACACATGCGGCATAAAATGTTTTTTTTTTTCTCTCGTCATGGTGCAGCTGATACGGAACGCTGATTCTAAGGAAGTGACAGTGTTAAACGAGGCTGAGGAAATGACACTGATTAATGGATGATGCCAGCACCACACAAAACACAGCCTGTTCCCACGTCATGTGACGAACGGCTGTATACACATACTCATGATTGTCTTTTCCTTTTTTTTGGTCCCTCACACACACACAAAGGATGACTCAGTCACAATGTTGTGTTTGTTTCCCCACACAGTGATCTCTGAGGTCGCAGGACAAACCAGAATATCACACATGACCAATCACAGTGGTGGCAGTGTTGGTTTTGTGTTTTGAAATACAACATTTTATTTTTAAAAAATGAAAGACTTCATTTACACAAGTACACAAACTGTCACATACAAAAGATGCTCACTGAATAAAGAAAACATTATTTATTGCAAAAGCACATTGAAATTATGAAAGACAGTGGACGTCTCTTTGCCAGGACAAGCCTGCAAGTTAAACACATAACAATAATAAAAAAACAGCTCATTGGATGATGGTTACAACAGCAGAGGAAGCATAACCAGCATACTACAAACACATTTCACTTCTACTTCAATTAAAGCTAAAGGAAATTACATCATAAAACAAGAAAATTTAAAAAAACTATGCAAACTTGACAATGCATTATACTAAAACTAAAAAAACACAATAAAAATACTATTCATAAACACATAACCAGATCGCTGTTTGGTGTCACATGAAGAATTAAGAAAATAAACTTAAGAAATGAGCTAAAACTGAGCAAAATAAATGTTTGCTTTGGCGTAGAGAGGATCTGTTTTTTTAACTGGTACCATGATTGATGGTGTGGCTGCAYGTCCAGCAGCTTTTCTTCTTCCTGGACTTAATCATTATTAAGTATCCTTCATGGGTTTATACTCAAAAAAATTACAAAATTATATAAAGCACCACAAGCGTAACTACATTCCTGATATTTGAGTTTAAAAACCATCCATCCTAAAAATTAAATACTTATCAAAAAACGGCTGAATCCATGAGTGTTGTTGCAGTTGCAGCCATCTGCCACTAGGAGGCGATAAATACAACAGGCATTTATTTCATTGAAAAATAATAAAAATAACATTTGACTTACACTCTTGCATCTTTAAACTTAAGATAAAAACTTYCCGAATGTGATAAAATTGTAAGTATGTATGTTTTTCTTATGAAAAGCATCTAAAACTGGTAATATGGCTTAAAAAGRGTTCTCAAAGTGGGGTTCAGGACCCTATTTGGGGTCATGAAAAGATACAGAAATCTAATTAACTTTAAAAATGATTGCTAACAACCTCTTTAACTTTAACTTCTACAAAGAAATAAAATTATTGGTCATAAATGCATACAGTTTAAGGTAYAAAATGTTCGAGGTTCTTTGTTGAATGGCTTCCAAGCAATGTTTGTATTTGTCAGGAGCTTTTATTTTGTAGGTCTAGAACCACAGGTTTAAAGAACTTCATCACATAACAGGGTTTAAAGTTGAAATGTTTCTCTATAAGATCCTTAGAGCCTCTTWAAAGATATAAGGAACAACCTGCTAAAAATCATTTTATTATGCTTCATGGTGTTGGTCTGTTTAATCTTCTACTAAGACGTTTCCACCATTTGAACCTTCACTTTGTCTTCATCATCTTTAAAAATATTTTATTTATATGCTTCGAAACATGTCAGAGTTGGATATCTGAATGAGCGGTGTCAGCTGGACTTGTGTGCGTGTTGATGTTTGTGTGAATCTGAGTTTACTGTTCGTTAGATGGGCGCAGGGACCTGCTGCCTTCCAGGTCCGGGTTGAGACGAAAGCTTCTGAGAGTGCCAGCGAGTCTCCTTGTASACGAACCAGGCGTTGCCAGCCCACACAAACATGTTGAGGTAGCCAAACACCTGGAAAACCACAAATGAATTAAACAAGATTAATAACTTCAGCTCATTTTAAAACCCGTGCTTTACAAGTAAATAGAATGCATTAAGTTTAACACTAAAATATTATTTATTGCTTTGCTCACATTTGACCTTTCCTGACTCTTGGTAACACCCTCTGGGTTCAGGCTGTAATCACATACTTTTGATTAAGACTGTTGGCTGTATGTGGTGGAATGTGAGACATTTAGAGTGAAACCAGTGTGATATTTCTCATTGTGTTCGCTGTTTCAACAAAACTTAGTTTTTATATGACATATGTTGGGTTTTTTATTGCCGGAGTAAGTATCCAATAGGGGTCGACCAATACATCGGCTGGCTGATATTTGCATTTTTTCCTTGTATYGTTATCAGCCAATACGTTCGTCTGTTCGGCTGATCTATTCTTTGGGTCAGGCGAGCGCATGTTGCCGYCCCATCCCTGGGAGAGAGCGTCTGGTAATGCGTAACTAGACASAGTGCCAACAACAATAAGGGTGAGTTATGAACTTTTAATGTGTTTTAACTGTTTGATTTGATTTGATTTATTGATTCAACAGGAAAMGATTACTAAAAATCAAGCCTGACTCAGCATAATTGCTGTTTTACAGCAGGTTCCTGTTCTGCAGCACATAAAACACTCAGAAATACAGCATCACAATCACATCATTATACACCATAGACACAAAGACAAACAAGCATACCAAATTTCAGGAAGGCAGCATTTGCAAAATAGGACRTCTAAATATGAGCACAACAAAAAGTGTCCAGCAGATGGCAGACAAGATTCTTCTTAAAGGRCTGTAGTTTTGAAATGGACTTTATGTTTTGAGGAATGTCATTCCATGYTTTAGTATAAACATAGAAGAAAGACCTCTGGCCGTAACAGTTCMCTAACAGTAACAGTTTAACTTAGCTTTCATGCTCCTCTGTCTCMGACTATGAGGGGGAGAGAACAGCGGTCTATTAAGTTTCATTTTCGAGCAGGAGCGTCATGTTTTTACTTTTGCTGTTTTTCTTTTAAAAAATGCTGGAACTGCTCACAAGAAAAGACCTCTTTTGTTCTCCCTGCTGGATAAAAATAAAAAAAGCTCTCGGTCTTTTCTCGCTGTTACGTTCATAGGAGCGAGTAAAGAGCTGCCGTCCACCACGTAAACCAGGCAGACGCAGCTTACATCACGTTTGGTCTGACTGCAGTATAAAAGTCGTGATGCAGGTTTTCTTCGGTGTATATTTCAAACTGAGATCTTAGGCTTATTAGCTGGTTTAAATGCATTTTCTACCCAGAGTAAAAAATGGGCACAGGCAGAGCCCTTGTAAACACTGTGTGTGTGACGTCCTCACAAAGATAGCTAGATGTATGTGTGTGTGTCTCTCTCTTTTTCTCTGTGTTGCTGTTTTTGCATAAAAATGCTGGGATACTTAAACATGGTAATTTTATTTTATGTAAAAATAGATATTAATCTGATTAATATAAATAAAAACATAACATATAGTACTAGATAAAATAACTCTTTAATTTTTATTTATTAATATACTTAAAAAATTTAATAAATGGCTGAAAAATTAAATTCTGTGTGGCCTACACCAGACAAGGCTCAGTTAATAAATGTTTCGTTTTTGTTTAAAATGAGACTTGTGCAACATTTGTTATGATTTTTATCATGTTAATGGAGGAAGAAAAAGCAGTATCGGCTTCAAGAATCGGTCAAAAAAAAATTGGCTGCACGTATCGGCGTATCGGTTAGACTGATGTCAAAATAATCGGTATCGGTATCGGCCTTAAAAACCTGTATCGGCCGATCTCTGGTATCCAAGGTCAAGTTAAAAAAAATGCAACTGTAAAAAGATGGAAAAATAACAGCATCTATGCTTTTGTAGTTTATATTGAAAGGATTAAAAAGCAGAAAATATRGTCAGGGGTGAACTCAGTTACTGCCAAAATAGATGCAACTGAATAGATGGGATTGTTGTAACTAGACCAGACAAGAATGATTTGGATTTAAAAAAAAAAGAAAAACAAATCACCCGACTAATTCAAATAATGTTTTTCCTAAAAATGTTCATTCCATAAAGAAATACAGTTTTATCACTTGAACGTCTGCCTCGTACCGTTGCCGTTTTTCTCCTTACCACAGATATATTGAGGGTCCGCATGTTGGCGAACTCCGTCACCTCACAGGTGAYGTTGCTGCCCTTGCAAACGGCCAACGTGGAGCTGATTCCTTCCGTGTTCGTGGCGTCCTTCACGTTCTGCAGGCCTTTTGCCCAGGCAGACGAACATACTAACCACAGGAAAACCAGGATGGACGTGATGAGAAAGTCCTGAAAAAAAAAAAAAAAAACCATTAGAAACAATAGGCCTAAAACAGGAGCGATGTGGATGTATGTACTCGTCTCAGGTTTGCGTGTTTACTTACAAAAATTGGTCCAAAGTCAGAGTCCTTGTAGACGTGCATGTAGCCTAAGTAAACCAGCAGAGCTACCATGCTGTACAGGAAACAAACGACACCAACGCCGACGAAGAACTCCACTGCAGATGCCGAGTCTCCCATCATGTGTGTGGTGGTGACCGAGTGGTTACAGATTGTGGCGTTTCCTTCAATCAGCGGGACTTGGCTCAGCCTGGCAACGACACATGGAGGGAATATGGAAGATAAACTCTCTTTTGTCTTTAACAAAACCCAACTGTTTTAATATTCTCACCTAAACGGGTAGTGGAAGTTGGCGTTGAGTGTTTGGTTCGAGCCATCGCCACAGAGGAGAGTTATAATGTTCCTCCCCGAGAATCCGCCGCAGCTTCCAAACGCAAATATGGCCGTCAGCTGTTTGGACAAAGCCCAGAAAGGGAAATATTAAAGACAAGGATTATAATTGAACCTAATAAATTAATGAAGACATTTCAGTCGCTGAAAAAAAGAAATGGGGTGCTACAATTCTTAGTGCATTTAGCACAGCCGAGAAACAACTTCTTCCGCCAAGTAATTAAATGTAATCTTAGATCATTTGAAAAGGTGTCTGCCAGCTTAGAAATATGGTCTCATTAATCCTCCTGTTCTGCTTTTGGAATCCTCCTCGCTGAAAAGCATCTGATTCAGTTTGCCGACCATGTGACTCTAATTCCTTTCTTTTAAAACCAACAAAGACTAAATTCTTTTGAGTCTCTGTGACTGGAGCTAAGCCTCCAAATGCAGTAAAAATACCCAGATAATTAAATCAAGTTTGTTCAGATTCTGAACAATATGACTTTAWACAGTCTCTATGACTAAGTACTGAATGAAAACAGGCTAATCCCATGTAAATTCTAACATACAGTTGGGTTTGTTATATATTTTGTCCAACTCAGATTTAACAAAACAGGCCCAAAACCATGATAATCCCATCAGCAGGTTTCATAGAGCAGATAAGGTTTTTCTATTCATTTTTTTATATATAGATCACTTTGGCCCTGGTGGTTCACAGAAGAAAGTGGACCAAATATTTTCCACATGGAACTTTTTTTCGCTTCTTTGTTCAGTCTCCAGCAAACTGTAGCAGCTGTCTTCTTCCTGCCATTGTTGTTCAGAGTTCGTCTGAAGGACTCGAGAATATTAACATTAATGTTAGTGGAGATTTCTGCTCCTTAGAAGGGACTCAGAATTGTTATTAGTGACAACTATGTTAAGGGGGGTTAAATTTTCTTTGTTAATACCCAGTGTGTCTGACTGGTGGAACAGTGGTTAGAGTTGTTGCCTCTTAGCAAGAATGAGGATTGGGCAAAATCATAGCACGCACAATTGATTGTAAGAAAAACTGTCAACAATTAATATTTGTCACTTTGCGATTTCTTCAATTAGTGCCACATTATCATGTAGGGATGCATCAGTATGAAAGTTTTAGCCAATATTGATATCTGATGTGATTATTATTGTTATGGCCGATAACCGATATTTACTGATGTTACAAAATCACACAAATTATTTATAAACATATACACACAAATACACTTGTGTCTTTTTTCGATACCATAAATAAAGGACTAGACTGCTGACATGGCTCTGTACTTCAGTTATTCTTGGCTGAGCAACATCAATATCAATATCATGATCAAATGGATACCACTCAACCAACCATTACCCTTCCCAAAACAGAAACATTAACCCATTTTGGACACAGCCTAAGCTAAAAAGTGGGAAATAAATATCGGACGTTAATATTGGTCCAGTTTTACCTATCGGACCAATACCGATATTTAAAAAAAAAGACCAATATCGGCCAGTACCGATGTTAATGCCGATATATCGTGCATCCGTACTATCACGGATCATGATCAATGGCGGAAGGCATTGTGGTGAAGCTAACGCCAACGTACACTGGAGTACCTGGAAAGCCAAAAAATGCGAACCAAGGCCACAATATTTTTTATTTATTTATAGTTTTATATTTAATATTTAGTTATTTAACCAGGCAATTACAGATCTCTCTTTCAAGGGAGGCTTGGGCTTGACCTCAACCTATTGTACAAGTTTTTGGGGTTTGGAGGAAACCAGAGTACCCAGAAAAAACCCACACAAGTACGAGGAGAACACGCAAACTCTGCACAGAAAGACCCCAGGTCTGAAACAGGGATTGAACCCAGGACCTTCTTTGCTGTGAGGCATCGGTGCCAACCACTGATCCATCGTGCTGCCAAATATCAACTACATGCAAGTCCAACTGTCATCTAATAAGTGTCATATATTAATCGTTAATGGCTAAATGCCACAATTAATTGTGATACTTTTTTTTTCGCCAATATCGCTCAACCCTAGCAAGACGGTCACAAGATGGCCTCCCAGCCCGGGACCTTTCAGGGTATAGTTTGTATGTTTTCCCCATGTGTGGGTGGATTTCCTCCCACAAACTAAAAACATTCATGTTGTGTTAAAAGGTAACTCTAAATACGCAAAGTTGAGTATGTGAAGGGTTTGTCTCGTTTCTGATCTGAACCTAATAGCTGCAACATTTTTGTAAACTATGACAAAAGTTTGTTGAGGTAGTAATACTTCATAAGATCCTTGTTAGTGTATACAGTGTAATAGTGTTTCTTTCTGGCAGTTAAATCAGTCAACTTGCTGTTGAGTTGGACTCCGAGTGAGATTAGTTGGTGTTTTGAGATGAAATYTGAGACTTGTGTCAAAAGGCAAAGTTTTTGATTTCTTAATAAGTCTAGATTTTGACCAAAAACTAAATGAATATGATCAAAGATACAAATGGTTAAATGGTTCCCCCCATCCCAGACCCATCAATCATCCAGGAACAGGAAGGTCCAACAGTGGAGTCTCTGCTCTGCTGCATTAAAAGGCAACTGCTGAGATAGATCAAGCATCTGTTGGAAATGCCTTCCAGAGACCTCCCAAGGGAGGGGTTTTATACGTGCCCCACTGGAAGGAGGCCACAGGACCTCCGGACTTGCTGTAAAATGCCTTTATGTCAGTTGAAGAGCTGGAGGGTGTAGCTGAGGAGGAGGCCCTGATCGCTCTTCTGTGACCCATTTCTGAACATGTGGGAACGCAAGAGAAAGCACTAAAAACCAAGGAAAAGTTCTACCAAGAACGTAGATTATAAAATAATTTTAGAAAGTCAATGGAATTTGCCTCTTGAGAATGCTTTAAGGCATTTCTTGGCATAAAATCGAGAATGGGTTGAACTGATAGGCATGAAAATGACTCTTTACCCACGACTAATACGCTTAAAAAAGGGTTACACATGCTTCCAGTAAGAAAGTTCTTACAAGGGTAGATTTATTTTACACCACAAAACTCATGTGCACACACACACACCTCGAGGCTTCGCTCCAGATGTCTTTCCAGATGTCACTTCCTGTTTTTTTTCTTCTTCTGCCTACACACCACAGTCAGCTACTTTTGCCACATTCTTGTTTTTATCCACTCCRTCGCTCCTCCAGTGCGAGGTCACAGGGCAGCAGCAGGCGAAACTTTAACAGCCAGAGCCGTACACACACTTCATATTAGTTTGTCTATGTTTAAAAAAAACAACATAGTGGCTAACAGAACGCCTGATGAGAAAGCAAAATCTACTTCAAGGCTCCTTCAGACGCCGGCTGACAAACATCACGAACACACTGGATTTATCTGCCAGACGTTTGGAAAATCACTTCCTCCCAACAAACTTTCTACAAAAACTTAACTCATCGTCATAAACCTGAAAACTGTGAACCGATAAAAATAAAAATAAATCATTTTATCCTTTTTTAGCTTGTTGGTAGGCAAATGGAGCCGATTTGAAGCGTTTTTTGGGGAACTTCCTGTTTACAATCACTTGGATGATAACATCTATGGAGGTATGAGTGCTCAGGCCAAACTAATTAAGGACCAGTTTAACACTGGTTTCATTGGATGGTTATTAGACGTAAAATTGGACTTTATGACATTTTAAATTGGTAAATATAGCATCAAAGCAATAGTTCAGACCATCAATGTGGTGTTCTGGAGATGTCTTAAACAGATTTGAATGATCTGAACAAACTACACTGCTGGTGTTGCTTAAAGTTTGGATTCTGTTCAGATGTTTGGTAAAATATAAATACCTGAAGGCAAGGTACACAGAGTTCATTACTTCCAAAGAGAAAAAGATTCTTGTTTGTTTGCCAGTGGGGGGGCTGCACTCAAACTGGATGAGTAGTTCTCGGGAAATGTTTGGTTTTGACTACAGCCCCATAGCATCACCTCGAGTGTGTCGGCCATGCCTTTGTGGGGGGGAAAACATTTCAACCGTATGTCTTATATTTGCAGAATTGATCATGTAGCTCAGTGCAGGTGAGTAATTACGTTGTTTTGAAATAAACTGGGGTTAAATAAGGCGAACAACACAGTTCAGTTCCGAGTCAGATGACTGTAATGTGCGAGCGTTATGAGAAAACAGAACAGCATTAACCCAAGCAGGATTTCTCTGACCCAGTTATGCAAAGCAGAACCCATTGACTGGACTTTCCACAAGACACGGCTGCAAACGTTTCCCCATCGTTGGGAGGTAGATTATTGTTGAGGTGCATTAATCTGTAACTGTTGGCCTGTGCYGGCACGACTGAATTCAACTCACTTTTATATCTTTAAAGTTGAGTCCCTTTGCAATAAAAGAGAAAAAAACTCATTCAACTTGAGATCAAATTAAATTTCCTTAAAGTATATTATAATTATGGACATACATGAGTTAATCAAGCATTTTCATTATTTTTTTAGTTGATACAACCTTGACAGGAAACAGTTTGAGGGCATTTTCTGTTCAGTTTCATTTGAAAACCTTCTAAAGTTGTTTTAAATGAGGTTTCCTCACGTAGTTTTTGTCTGAAAATCACTATGAAATGGGAGGAAAAGAGAGGAAAAAAAGGAGGGGAGCAAGACCTCCCGGTCCTTGTTGGGTTTGGACACTTAAAAAGCAGCTAAACATAACTTACCCACTCTACCAGCTTGATAAAGCCCAGGGGCTCCTTCAGGGGGGACAAGTTGAGTCGAAATCCGGTCATCATGATGAAGTCTTTTGACCAGGTTTTTTTTTTCCCCTGAACTCTTCAGATGATAGTCCAACAGGGAGGAAAGAGTGGGAGTCGTTTGACAGAATAATGACGTGATTTTCTTGCAAACGCTGCAAAAACGAGAGAGGAGGGGAGAAAAGTTCGGATAAATGTTCGTGTCCAGTTTTCCAACAAAACTAATGCAGAATAATGAAGGTTTTACTTACTTTAAACGACTCGAAACTTACTGGAAACGTTCAAAGATGGAGTCTGCGCAGTATTTTTAGTGCAGCGGGAAGAAAAAAAACGACGCCCCGGCGCTTTGCTTGGCGACGCGCGCAACGATCCGGCGCGTAAAAGTGTGCCAAAACCAAACTTGTCGTTTTTGCGCGCTTCATGCGTTTTTTGGTGCCCAGAAAACGAGTCTCGATGCAAATATCATGCAGCTGCGACAAAAGCAGTTAGGTTTTCTTTATATGTATTTTGGTTTTACCTCAACAGGGGAGGGGGGRAAAAAAAACATGCAAATATATTCTTCAGTTCCGCAAAGAATCACGGTATTTAAGTCTGAGAAACGAGAGTCCCTGCTGAGTTTCCATGGGATGGGATCAGAATGTGGAGGTTTGCCTCCTCCTTGCTGAGTCTGCAGCTGCTGACTTGGTCATATGACTCGGAGGGTGGACAAAAAGCAAATTCCATCCACATCAAGACAAAAGCTTTTCTTTTTTCATCGAATCATCTGAAATAGGAAACAGCCCCATCACTTCAAATAGTCTTTTCCCTCGTGAAATCATTTAAACCCCTAATGACAGATATGTATTCAAACTGCTGAAAAGAAGGCGACAGTTACTGTTTATRTCAGTGTCTGTTAGCAAAATATCTCATGAACCACTGGGCCAATTTTAATGAAAGCTCATTGGATGCGCAGCTTCGTCTGATTCATTTTTGGAGTCAACCTGTTGAAACTCATGAAAGGTGGTAATAAGTTTTCTATTCATCCATTTATCTTCTCAACTGATACATTAACTCATATATTACATAAATCATGAGGTTCTCAAACCGGGGTCGCTGGACCCCCAGGGGTCCGCGACAGGTATCTTGGGGGTCCTCAAAAAAATTTTATTAAAAAGTTTATTTGTTTTTTTTTAAATGCATGGAGAACAAAGAACTAATAAAACAAACATAAACTTAATAAAAATATATATTCCTATGGCATTTAGGGGTTGAAATGGCAATAAATTATCTTTTAAAACAGCATGGGGTTTATGAGGGGGTCCCTGGAATTTCTTTTGACCTTGTAAGGGGTCCCCAGACCCAAATGGCTTGAGAACCCCTGACATAAATAAACTATTTGTACATGGATAAAATGACATTTTATCTGAGTCCACCCTGGAGCCCAGTGAATGCCAGATGTATAAATAAAAACTGAGGCTGGGGAAATCCAGTTTTGTTAAAAAAAAAAAAAAAGAAAAAATATTTTTAGAGGACAAGCAACATCAGGTTGTAATTTAAAAAGTTGGAAAGATTTGGTCAAGAAGGGACAAACTGCTCTACAAAAGGTCTTTATCACCTTTTTGTGTCACAGTTTCAACTTAATAAAAAGTATTTTCAGTTTGTGTTTGTCAAATTGGGGAAAAACCATGATGCTGWACCCAGGTGCAAGAAATCAGAACAGAAAGAATGTAGGTGTTTTTTTAAACCAAAATTTGCCCCGACTTTGACAATATTTGCTCAAAGTGAAAGATAAATGTGTCAAAAGAAGAAACATTTGTAGAATGATAGCAAAGCTCAAGATTGTTCTTTATGTTTTGGAGTTTGTTTCTTTTTGTTTGTTTCAGAACTGTTTTGTTTCTTAAAATAGTCACAAAAACCAGGCCAGGGCCTTGTGCAAGATTAAAAAAAAACATTTACCTTGCTGAGGGTTTTCCACTTTGCACAAGAGAAAGGGGGAAAAAAACTTCTCAGGCAGGTTTTATTTTAAAACCAGGATTGGTTTAGWGTTTGAGAACAGGTAGTCATTGAGTGAAAGGATGTTTGAAGATCTTGGCTAAAGAGCACTGGAGCAGATGGTCACACCTCCTTCCATGATTCAGCATCCTCAGACCAGGGAACAGGACCCGGACCCGGACCACGCCMAGGACTAGAGGCCTGGTTCTSTCTGAGAACCAGATCTCACAGTCAGTAAATGATGTYGGAGGACTTCTKTGCTGCAGGAGGGTTTGACAATTTTTCACAAAACAATCCAAAGTAATTAAAAAAAGCACATAACTGTTTATTATTGTATTTATACAGATTCATTCATGGTTGTTTACATGTTTATTAAACTTTTCTACACTTTGTTCTGTTCAGTTCAGCTCATTCAGGAGATGGATGCTATGACTTGTTTTTTTTTTTACTTTCATGTTTTTTTTTTAAATATTAACCTTTCAGAAATATATTTCCTCTTTGAAAGACACTGGGTTCTTTTTTAATTCTTTAAAAACATTTTTTATTTTAAAATCTGCTTCAGATTTTAGCTAAATTAAAAAAAAATCTCAATAACAGGTAAAACATCTTCAGCTACAGAAGCCCAGTTTTTTTTTTTTTTACTTTATTTTTCTAAGTCCAGGATGAAGGATTCTTCATCAGCAGCTTTTAGCTACGATTTGGCTCATTTTAGATTTTAGCTACCATTTTGTTTCTTTTAGCCTTTGGCTATTCCTTTGCTAACATTCTGCTCCTAGCTACCACTCAGTTCCTTTTACCTCTGAGCTACAAATTTACTCTTTTTGGTTTTTGGCTACATTTATTTACTTCCTTCAGGTTTTCATTATGTTTTGCTAACTTTCAGCCTTTTTTTTTTTTTTTTTTTTTGTTGAAGCAGTTTTTGCTCATTTCAGCATCTGTTCTGCTTGTTTTAGCTTTAACAACTCAGTTTTCTGCTTCTTCAGCTCTCAGTGATGCTCTGTATTTTGGCAGTTTGAGAACATTTGGCACCATGTTTCTTGTAGTTGCTGAAACAACTGATGCTCTTTGCTCTGGTCAGAAGAAAAAGAGTACAAACAACTTTCAAACTGACAGGGTGGCATTTTAATCAGTGTATTGTTGACAATATAGGAAGTTATGTTAGTTAAAATATCAGCTGTGTCGGGAAAGAATTTGGAACAACCAACATATACATACGATTGAAGAAAATAAAAGTATTCACAAACGGTGTTTTCATCCATTTTCACAACAAGGCATTCATACAGGACTACACTCTCTCTAACACACACACACAGAAGGTAAAAGGTTGACAGTCACGTCTCCAGTTTTGTCAAGCCATTTTGGATATTCTTCTGTTTATACAAAAATGGTTATTCTGACAAAAAATAAAATGATCTAAGAACACCATCTCACAAACCCGCCCTCTCTGTTCGGTCAAACGACTTGTTTTATGTACAAGTGAGAAGGCAGTATGGCTGCGCTGTTTGTAAATAAAGAACGTGCTATTTCTGACCTTTATTTCTTCTTCTTTGTCATACAAAATAAGATTTCTCTGAGGTAAGAACTGAGACTGTATCAAAATATTAAAAACTAAATGCCTCCCACAACTGGAAATGAACTAATCGGTGTCAAAACCGCAAACTAGGTGACAAAAGAGCAGCAACAGTTGAAATAACTAGTGGGTGGAAATCAAATCTTTGCTGGCTTGTTTGTGTTTCAGCAGGACGATCGAAGCCGGGGGGAAAGAAGCAAAGAAAGAAGTCTGTGACCCTTAAAATCCAAAAAGCAGGGTGCACGTGAGGCCGTCAGACAAGAGTGAGCCAACTGGGGACAAATCACCTGCAGTTTCGGAGGTTCTGCCTGGATATGTGGCGGCGTTGAAGCGAGCTGAACGCTAACACATTGACAGCTGAAATCTAGATGTTTTAGCAGCTATACTGTTAGCCTATATGGAGCACAGCTGGTGGTAATCTCATTAGGGAGACAGGAATGTATCGACCGAATCGAGAAGAAATCCATTCCAGAAGCTGGTAAAAAATGTGACCTTCGCAGAGGAACTAAAGGAAAAGCCAGGGGGAACTTTATGGTCCGTAGTACACAAGCTAATGTTTACAATTACATGGATTTTTCTTGGAACAGCAAGGGCGTCAGGGTTCTGGAGGGCGGAATGCTCCCAGTTTTTGCTTCCACGTCTCGTTCACAACTGGTGCAARGATGGATCTGGGCCTTGTCCTCATTAATGAGAGCGTTGCTCCAACCTGTCATGGTGGTGAAGAGGTTGAGCTGGTCCATTTGTTTTAACCCTCATCTATGATCGGGACCAGGAGAACCCAGATACAAGTGAAATTAGCTTTCCTCGCATGCTGGCTGGGCTTAGAGAGGAGCTTGACCTGCCTCATCAAACGTAGCTCAGGTGGTTCAGGCATCCGGTTAGGATGCTGCACTGCATGGATTCTCCCTCTCTTGCCTGGGAACACTTTAGGATTCCGTTATCCCTGGTAAAAGTGACATCTGGGTTTCCCTACTGGACCCGTTTGCCCCCAAGACCCAACCCTTGGACACATGGACAATTAACATCCAATCGTTGGACTTCCTGTGATGTCACCAGCTCCCAACTCCTCTGAATCCTCTTGTTCTCCTGCAAAGGTTTTTTTTTTTTACCTTGAAAATGGTCAAAACAACAAAAGGAATCCAGTGCTTAAAAAAAAGGAGTGAAGCTAAAATTAAAAGCCAGGATCACGGAAAGTTATCCTTTCAGACGGCTTCGAGTCTTACTTTGTTCCTCGTGAGTTAAGGCAGTGATACGGAAAGCTAAGTCCTGCTGATGGACCGAGACATATTAGTGTCAGAAATGCATGTTACTTCTTCAGCATTCCCCCCTCCCCGTTCAAAATTAAAGGCCAGCAAAGAAAAAAAAAAGGAAAAAGGAAAAGTGTTCATCTATTCCTTCCATCAACAATCACTTTTGCATAAAGGAATAATACAGTTCTTTAAAAGGAAGAAATCGTCAATACAAACAAACACACAAACACACATCAATGTTTAACATACAGTTCAGCCCAAGAGCCACACAATAATGTCATCTTTCATAAACCGTTTTTTTAAATCAGCTTCGTTTCATTGAATATGACCTCCAAGACGTTGCTTTTTTTTTCTCCTCTTAGTCTCACACAGATAAAAGTCTCGACCGCAACAGATCCAATCAAAACAATAAAGTGACTTTCTGTCAATCAAAAATTACAAAGACTAAAGTTTCTTCTCTCCAACTACCAGATTGAGAGTGAACAAACATTTTAAACATCACAAATGGAGAAAAATTGGTGCGATTTTGAGGCAGGAGTTTGGCCGTCTTGATGTGAAAGCACTCTGGGCAACATAATGGCAAGAAGATGATCATTTATATATCTTTAACGATTTGTGTTGGCAGAGTAAATATTGAGACGCTAGACCTTTTTTTTTCCTTGTTATATATAATTTAGACCATCTCTACCAATTAAAAGCAGAAACAAGTGGGAAAACCTGATCATTTCACTACCCATAATTACAGTTGAAGTGATTCACGGTCATCTGCTACAAAGCTGAAGATAAATATTAACAATTGGCTTTCAACATCATCAGTGCACAGCAGTTTTACTAAAATCATCACTTTCTTCCTTCACATATAGGATAAAGATACGTTGATTGAGATGTTTAGTTTTTAAAGCAGTTCTGTACAGAATACGTGGACGACAATAAATGGTGCGAATTTCCAATTTGTAGTCATCTTTCTCTCTTGGAGGTTGGATCTGTGTGCAGGTGCTGAAATCTACAACTGAATTGCAAAATATCTGGTTTATCAGTGCAAGAATCWGAAAAAATAAATCTGAGGCGGAACATATACCTTCTAAACACATGCTTTTTTTGTCCTTGTAGCAAATTGGGGGGGAATTTCTCATTGGTTCTGGTTGTGTGAATATTTTAGGGGTTTGCAGAATTTGGAAATGCACACACCTCCTGTTTTATGGGGACACTGGAGGCAAAAAGGTGGAGGTTTAAGAGGGGTTCTTCAGGGATGTGTGTTTGGAAGACTGCACTCACTGCAGCAGCTCTTCAAGCTCACTTTCTTTGAGCTTAGCATTGTCTCTGACTTCATCAAATGTGTACATCTTCACAATCTTTCCATTCTTAAAAACTGTGTGCAACAGGTCCTGAACAGACATGAAAACAAAAGAACAGGTAGGAATGGGATGGGGGAAAAAAATGAGGGATAGGATAGAAAATAAGAATTAAATAAAATAAGGTGAGTATTTGTATTGAAATAATAGAAAGTATTTAGGTACTCAAGTGTTTGTGTGCCACTGAGCTCACCTCGCCGTACTCCTCCAGGTCACCTTTGCCCTCTTCCAGGGTGACAAAGTCTCCATTCGGTTTCCGGTGCAGAGACAGGCGACCTTTCTTTGATCTTTTGTTGGGGTCTGCCACYGGATCCTTGAACACGTTCACCTGAGTCGCAGCACAAAACCAAAACATTTAAACCCAATAATTTCCGCATCAAGTGCTGAAGAAGAAATTATTTAGCGTATCAAACACGTCTTTCTAAACTGGGAGACAAACAACTATTATAGGGTGTTCACAATATCAAAGCACCTAATGAGGGTAAGAGAAGTAAGAAGACCCCGTCGTGGTATAATAATGAGACTCACCCCCAGTCCATTAGTAACCACATAGCTGCATTTGAACGAGCAGTTGAGCAGATCTCTGGTCAGCTTTTGCAACAAAGCTCCTCCGGACCCAAACGCAATGTTCTCGATGGACCACTTGTGCTGCTTCATCCCTTCCACTATCTACGGGAGCAACAAAAAAACTTATTGCTGTTCAAACTTTCACCAAAGCTTCAACCCAACCAGGAGGTCTTACCTCTTGCAGTGTGTTGATGTCAACTCCATCTCCCTGTATGACTCGGATGTAAGGAGGCAGAACTTTGTAACCTTTGGCGTTGTCCTGTGGATGAAACTTCTTACCCAGTATCTCTAAAACCTGTCGAGAACAAAAAAGGAGGGGAAAAGTTATGAAGCTGGAGCGTGCTTGGCTCCAGAAAAAAAAAGAAGAAGCTTGGATGTACCTTTAAAACTGTATCAAGTGGGTTTCCTGAGTCTGGTCGAACCACCAGCGGGGCGTCTGCACCACGGGTCTCTATGAGCCCTCGGAGGTCTTCWCCCCAGATCTTTTCACAGGCGTTGTAGATGTCGTAGCTGTCGCTGACTATGGACACGGGCACGTTGGGAAACTGCTTAATAATGTGCTCAAAGGCGTCCTTTTCATGGTCCTTCCCCCAYGCTGTGATGGTACTGTACAGAGAAYGGCAGAACAATTTGGTTTTTGTTAAACTATAAAAAATGGTGGCAACCAGGGGAAAGTCCTGATGACAACCAAGCTTTTGACTTTTAAAACAGACCAGAAACCTAAAAGAAGACAGTTATTTAAGCAAAAGTGTTCTCTGAGAAGAAAAACAGCTGAAGACGTGAGTCACAAGACATTAATAAAGAGAAAGTAACTGTCCAGAAGAGGGCAGTATGATTTTTAGTTTCTTTTGTTTTGTTTTGACGGTTTGAATATTAAACGCTCAGAACTGTAAGACAATCTTGTATATACAGGTTCATACATGTTCACAACCGCTCACAGACAGGTGTTCTGATCCGGGGGGTTCTGACTGGTCACTGAGTGTGTATATACTGTATGTCTGTGTGTATATACAGTATGTCTGTGTGTATATACTGACAATATTTATGAATGAAGGCATGTATGTTTGTATATCTTTATATATGTATGGGTATGTGTATATTTTTATATATGCCCTCCATGTATTTATCCATTTATTTTTCAGGTGAGCGGACAGATGTTGGGTGTGTGGTCCTGTGTTTTGTTGGTGTATATTTAATATACTTCTAATTGCTATTTCAGTCTATCTTTCTAATTACTTCTCTCTCTGTCTCTTATTTTCTCTTCACTTAAAAAAAGTCACTGATGATGAAAACAAAAACTGTAAGACAATTCCACCAGAGAGTAAACATTAACCAGACCGGTGTCTTCATTTTCTGTGCTTATACTGGTTCTGCAAACTGTCAAAGCTTTGTTGGATTAAACAAAATTAGTAGATTTTTAAAGTGGTTTATATTTTTAAAGTAAAAAAATTAAACATATTTTTGTAATAAGGACTTTTTTTTAAACTTATAAACCTCTAAAGGTAACAAAAAGGGGTTTCCCCCTACTTTTCCTCTCCTTTGCATTAAGATCAAAGTGGTATTTCCCCACAGCTCCTCCCACTGAGGTGAAAACTGTACTGACTTTACGATGTGGGCCATTACATAACGGCTGCTATGACGACCATCTTAGAATACACACCGGTGCAGGAATGAAAGGTGCGCTGGAGCAGCAGTAACTGCTGCCGGTGGAGCGTTAATAAGCTGCGTTCGCAGAGTGCACGAAAGCAAAACCGAAACGAGAGAGAAGCGTGCGTCTGTGTGAGTAATGTGAACAGGGCAGAGGCAAAAAAAAAATTAATGCCACTAAAGACAGGAAAGATGTGAGTCAGTCAGGAAACCTCAGCTCCTGGTACTTACAGCAGCAATGTTTCAAATGAGTGACCAAACCAGAAAGCTCATAATGCCAACTGTAGTTACTCACAGTTAATTCTCTTTATGGAAAGCTACACAATGACAGCAATTATTTGTCATTTTAAACACYGACCGAACTTGAAGATAGAAGAGCTGCTTTACAAACATGGCTCTTGGCCAAAATATAGAATAGTGTATCTCACTGAGACAGAAATGTGTCAGCTCTGCAGCCTCTGGGAATATATGAACACAGTACACGACCTATGCTGRTAATTAACAGTGTGCAGGAATAAAAAAAGACTCTACAGGCAATATGTAATGGTTTGATCCCACTGAAAGGCAGTGTTTATTATTACTTGTACAATAAACTACCACTCTGCCATCACACCTCAAACTGTGCTAATAAAGCCTTTGTGATAAAAAAAAACATGTAAATAAAGACAACTAGAGAATTAAAATGCAGTGCTGCTGAAACTAGTCTAAAAATAATTTAGAAATGCAGCTGAAATTAGCACAATTAAGCAGTAAGCAGCTGAAATGATCACAAAAAGCTGCATTTTGCTGAAAAAAGCTCTAATCATTATATTTAATACAAATGAGTGAAAAGGCAGGACTAGAACAAAAGGGGAAAAGTACAGTAAAGATTTCTAAACATCTAAAGGGTTGAAAACAGCTCCATTCATTTTCAATGAGAAAAACATGGCAGAAAAAGCTAAATATCTCAAAAAGTATACATTGAGGAAGTACCAAAACTCAGACTGAATGTCCTGGAGGAGCTGAACGTTTTGATATATAACTTGWTGAAATAACACAAAGAYTGCAGAATGGGATAAATGTGCAGAAGAATAAATGATGTCAAWAGTTTGAATAATTTTACAAGCTTTCAAACAAACAAAGAGAGGCAGTGTTTGTGTACCTGTGCTCAGCAGCTGGGACAGAGAAGCCTGGAACTGGGTCCTTGGTGCCGTAGTACTTCTTGATGACTCCGATTCCGGCGACTGTGTCTGTGCCCTTAAAGTTAACCAAATGGGCAGAAGCTCCAATGCCAGCGGTCTGTGAATAATGAAGGGTTAAACGACAATAAAAATGTGACATATCATTTACTTTAATATGATTTTTAACAACCAGCTGAACAGAAGCAGGACGTGTTGGGATGTTCGGCTGTTAAAACATGAAAAAAAAAGCTGGTTGTGCCCGGGTTTGCTGACCTTCACTTACAATTCTGGAAACCACTTTCAGTCATATTTTTATCTGAGCTCTTTGTGGGTTTCAGTTTTTGTCATGGGTTTTCTTTTTGTTTGCCTTCTGAGTTTATTTCCCATTTCTCTCCTGAGTCATTCACATTGTATTCCTCTCAGTCAGTCCTGCCCCTCAGTTTTCTCATTACTCACCTGTTCCTTGTATAATCATTAGTCACAGCTGTTCCCACATTTTAAACCACCCGACGTCAACTCTTGTTCTTCATTCAATCATCAGACATTCATCTTGTTTGTTCTCCTTTGTACTCCTTGTTCTCCTTTGTACTCCTTGTTCTCCTTTGTACTCCTTGTGTTTTTGGTTACTTTCACATTTGCTGCCCGGTCAGCATTTTTCATATTTGTGCTTCCGTTTTCCTCTTTTTTTGGTAACAGTGCGCTTTCATTATTCAGTTGCTTCTCTTCTTTGAGTCCACATGTAAATCTGCATCCCTGGTTCCCAACTTCAAACAAATCCTGATACAACTTACCTGATTGTGTAGATTTACATCTATATGATTCTAAGATTTGATTCAGATTATTTAATCTGCTTCATACCTCTTGTGAGGACACACCCCTGTAGCCGAAGTCGTGTAGTTTATACTCCAGACCCTCCAAGTTCCCAGAAGTCTCCAGAAGGTATTTGGCAAGGATCTTCTTTTGCTCTCTGGAGTTGGTGGCCACGGTGATGGGGTACCAGATCTGTACCAAGATAGTCTAATGGAAGAGAAAGAACAGTAGAAAATCAGCTCAAGCCCCTCCCAACACGGGGAAAAAAAAAAAAAACGCGACACGCACAGCGAACAACAAACTTGCTAAAACTAACGTCCTCCAAAAATATGAAGCTAGCATAAAGTTTAGGACAATGTCCCAGTGGTTATTTATTTATATGTAGAAGAGCTTTTCTGTGAGACTTTTTGGCACACGATGGGCTGGACGCTGTGAAGACCACTTCCTCTCTGAGTCACTGACAGAGGAGCAGCAGCAGAGCTGAAAACTCCTGAACACTCAGTGAGGTGGGAGTCCGAGTTTATCCATGATTTTGTTGWTGTGTGTGCAGAATCAGATATTCCTTTAGAAAAATTGAAAAAGCTTTGTCTGTTTTTTGATAAAGCACTGTGTGCGTGTGTGTGTCTCTATTACAGAAGTAAATGAGTTTAGATGGCAAGTGTAGGTTTTATGTTTCTTTATGACATATTTAATGTTAAGCTAAATTCTTAAACATTTTATTTTACAAAAGATAACTATTATGTGAGATTCTATGTTTTACACATAAAGAATGTTTTTAGTAAACAATTTTAAACACCTTCCAAAAATAATTTAATGTTCTACTGAACCACAGCTGCTTGTTATATTAGTGAAAGTGAAATGAAATAATTTTTTTAATTTCTGTACCTATTTATTTGTTCAATTATAAAGCGATTGAACAATATTTACACACTTTTTAGGTAAATAAATATATTTACACACTTTTTAGGTAAATAAATATGGTTACAATGAAAATGTGGAATTCAGGGGGGAAAAATGGAAAAAGTGGAATTTGGGAAAAAAATAAAAAAGAATTTATAGGGCCCTACATTGTTTCTGTTTTAGTTTCCAGCTGGCAATGTGCAGCTTCTAAAATTCACTAACCTGTCACTTAAACAAACAAACAAAACAAAAAAGCATTTGAAATCTCTTCCYGTCAATATAACAAACATTTTGTTCAGAAAACAGGTTAAAAGTTGCACTAACAAACAGAAAAGTGACCGCCTGGTCTTTTCCAGCACTCATCTGGTGTTAAAGCCTAAAACTAACAGCCTCACAGGGATCAAAGCTGACAAACTGTGGGAAAAGTACATTCCTGGATGCTTCATCATAACTCTAAACCAGAGTCAAAAGGTTTGAATATCAAAACAAATGGATTATGTACACAACACTGTCTGAAAAAAGAACTGCACTGTTTTATACAAACTGTGTGTGTGAAGATCTGTGTCTGTTTTTATTCAAGGACCTTGCTACAAATGTTCATGTTAAATAAGTGGAAATTTGTAATGGTTTAACTAATATTAATATAATTTACTTCCAAGATAGAAAACATGCTAACATGCAAATATGTTTTCTCTAATATGATGGTATTCACAAGGAATAAAGTTACTTTACGTGTATATTACGTGCATGAAGGCTCAATGTTACATTTTCTGTGTCAAACCTGATTAGCAGCAGATTACAGGTAAGATTTATTGCACCGTGTCTGTTGCAAACCCAGGGCTGGCTTAAAATTAAATAAATGTCAGTRTGTTCTAAAGCATCTTAGTGGTAAAACTTGGAAAAAAGTGGATATTTTTAACCCGAGCTTATTGTGTATTTTTAGAAACAGATAAGTATCTTAATGAATTAGGTGGAATGATTAAAGACTTGGGGAATATTTGTGGCTGAAAACAGACTAGGTGTTGCCAGGAGAAAGTGCTCAAACAAAGATGTTTTATTTGTGATTAACGAAATAACAGGAATAAAGTCATTTAAGATACCTGGAATTAGGGCTGCCACAAACGATTATTTCTATAATCGATTAATCACTGATTATTTTTTTCGATTAGTCGACTAATCGGATCATATGTTAACTGAATATAAAACATAGAGCTTATTGCACCAGAGTGCAGCTGCTATTAGATAAACATCATTAGATTTTAGCTATATGCTAACTAAAAATAATTGCTGTGGAAGGCAAGTTCTGCTCTGCAGATATTACACAGGTTTCTCTTTCATTTTTAGAAAATTATCCCACACTTTTGAGCTCCATTGCCGTGTAGCCATGATACCAGAGCCTGTCTGTATAATGTCTTGTGAGGTCCACGGCCCACAGTTACCACTACTGTGCATGTGTGTCAAGGACAGAAAGGCWGATGTGGCAGTGGAAGCTGTCAAAACAGTTTGGAGAGAAAAACAATGTAAAGAACAAAAAAAAAAAAGAAAACGATTAATCGATTATTAAATTAGTCATCGATTATTTTAATAATCAATYAGTCGTCGACTAATCGAGGCAGCCCTACCTGGAATCTTGGGTTATGAAATGCAAACAAGCTTTTAATGACTTGGTGTTGATTGAAACCAGATTTTKCATCATTACATCATTAAAGGCCAGCAGAATGTAGGTCGATCACACGACTCCAGCTTCCGTGTGGTTTTCTCGTGGCTTCAAACGAGTGCTTAGTTTACATCGAGTACAAACTCATCATATCACATTTATCCTAACCTTATCCCGCACAAGAACAGCCACACACACACACTCCTCCATGACTTATCTGTCAAATACATTGAACAAAACGGAGGAGGATAAGGAACAACASAACGTGCTGGGAATGAGGAAGGTTATGAGAATAGAAACCAAAAAGAAACAGAAAGCTGGGACAAAGAAGATGGATAGAATAAAAGAGAACGAGAGAAACACTGACCCAATGACGCAACTCAAGGACATCAGGGTGACCGCTACAGCTAAATTTACACCAGCCATGAATAATGACCCAATGGGTATGTGTGTCAGTATATAATTATATCTGCCACAGAAACTCACTAGGTGTGTGTTTATATGCATGTATGTGCCATGTGTCCAGTTTTATCAGGGCAGTATGTGTGTGTTCCCTGGAAGTGTGTTGCCACGACGCTCTCGGCTGTGGGTGACCTTCGTTCTGTTACAAGCTTCTGGAAATGTTGTTCCAAATTTGGCTTCAAAGTTCTGGATACATTTAGCCCTGCTCGATTTCCTAACCAGACAGATTTTCAGGTCAAGAAAAACACGTCTCTTTAAGTCATGTTTTAAGATATTGCCTCAGACGAAAATAAATACCTGTGGGAAGAGTTGAACATGATAACAACTGTCCTCAGGTGGTGAAAGAGAAAATGAAACATTGTTAATGAATAACAGGCTAGCTAAAACATGAATCATTTAGCAGTAATTACACTGAGGACAGCCTGATCACTCAGCATGACGCAGCATGTTTCTAAACTCATTGTACTCTCCAAATGTTACGTACTACTGTTTGAAAATGAAAATGTCAACTCAGACTTTCTACTGTACTTTTTAGCCACAGTTACCTCACAGAAGGGAGTCTGTAAWAAACCCCAAAGACACTAAATCTGTCAGATTTAAGTGGAGATGAGATTTATTCCAGGGAACGCTGCCAAGCAAAGTACTTTAAGGCTTCTTACAATAGGGAATAAATGCAGCTACAATATTATGTCATTAACAGATAATCATATTAAGATAGCCATCAAATTCTATTAAAGCATCAAATAAAGACGCAACGAAGACATAAACAGCTGTTTAAGGGCAAAGGTGGTGAGGAATTAGGAAGAGCTTTAAACTTGATCAAGCTACTCCTGACATGATAAGGAGAAAGTCCAGAGATAAACGCTGCCCTTGTGTTTTATTAGAACTCGCTCTGCAAGTTTTTCTAAGCCCTGATAAAGAACTCACCTCCACCCAGTTGGTGAGCCAGTAGCACTCAGGGTCCGTGTTYTCCACCGTGAATAAAACGTTGCCTCGGGGAATGACGCTTCCTTCAGGCACGGCCTTGATTTCAATGGGCAGGTGTCCGTCATATTTCTGTAAACACAACAGTATTTTACTCTGTTTTGGTCCAGCTCAATTTTTTTTKATCTAAGATTAGATTTATTCCAGTGGTCCGACAAAGGCTTCAAAGCACATTTACCTTTATAGGCAACAAAAACAACATGTAATTTAAAGCAAAACCATGCATCAAATATTTTAACAATGGATTTTTAGCAATGGATTATAGCAATTTCTGTTAGGAGAAAATTAAACAAATATTAAGATGACCCCTGTTTATGGAAATTTATGAAATTTACATTTATTTAAAAAAACTGACTTTGGGAAAACAAAAAACGACAAGATACTGAATTGGGGTACGACGATACAGAAAAATTCATGATTCCGTTCGATTCGATACTTTTGTGTCACGGTTCGATATTTTCTCGATTCAAAACAGAGAAATTTCCATGACCTTCTTAGCTTGTGATTTATTGACATTAATTATGAAATTTTGTTTAAGCTCAAAAACAGTTTTTAAATAAAATGTTGCTGAAACAACACGTTTCTAGAACACAGAGCATCTTCAGAAGACAAGCTGATAAAATAAATTTTAAAAATTTGTTTTGTTCGATACATAGTGCGTATTGAACCTAAAGCACTGTATAGAACGGTTCAATACAGACACATGGATTGTTGAACCACTAATACTGAAGTAGGAACATAACTTCTGACCTCCTCTAGCCATGACGGGACAATTTATTATGTATGAGCATGTTTTATTATCTTTGTGTAACTGATTTTATTATCTTTGTGTAACTGATATTGTATGTGTGTCACAGGTCTCTCTTGTAAATAAAACATTAAAATTACCTGCCTAAATAAAAGAAATAAAAAAACTCTTGGCCAACCCAAGGTTCGGCATGGTTCCCTGAGCCATCGCCAGCTGCAAGAAGGCATCAGAAAGCCAAAGACACTCCTCTCCTGCTACATAAGTTACGAGACCATGCACCTGGCAAATACCTGATGCAAGATTTCACTCCTCCAAATGAAAATTTGAATTTATCAACCCTCATTTTCATTTATCGTGCGATTAATTGCTTTATTGCTAACGCGACAGGTCTAATCACAAGAAAAATTAGTCTTTAAGCACCAAAAGCAGAGTCTTACCTCCAAAATGTAATTCCATCCTTTCTCATTAAAAACATCATCCTGGAAGTGTTCTCTGTAAACCTCCTTTGCCTCTTGGATCTTTTCTGGAGTCACAACTTTTCCTGAGTAGAAAAAAAAGTAGGAGAATGAATGAAGGGAGGAGACAAAAGAAGCAGAAGTCACTAGAGTGCTAATCTATTGAGTCCCACTGTAATTACATTAGAGACTTCCTGTGCTGGCAAAGCGGTTTTGTCTACTAAAACACACACACACACACACACACACACACACACACACACACA